TACTGATAATCTCCAAAGCATTTCTGTTTCTGCAACTGAGCAGCAGAGAAATACACACGTGCATTCTCACCACATTTACCCAGTACCCATAGCATCATGCCCCAAATAGTCTCCTTGCCAGGGAGACAAAGACAGGCAGAGGAAAACTAATGTGACTACATCCAACCACTAACTGAGTCGGTGACTCTTTCATCAGTAGTTATCATTCGCACACTAGTCACCTCTGCACATCCCAGTCTCCCTCTCTGGGCGCCCGATTACTTGGGCTAGTGATAGAGTCTGGCGATAATGTGATGCAAAACTAAGTAAAACTGGCCAACATTCCCTACCCAATATCTTTTAATTGCTTTGGTTACAAAGTACTGGATACTTATGTCTTCATAGTCTCTCATCCTAATACACATAAAAAGTACATGGGCCAGTGACGTAGTCTGGAGAAGTCTTGAGAGAATTTCTATTTATTCCCCACCCCCTTCTGTGGGTTTCTTTCATTTATGTGTTTACCTGATTGCTTTGGGGGGAGAGGGGGGAGTTTTGAGCCCAAATAGTGACTTCATTTAACATTTCCTGGGTCCTTGAGATCTCCTCAGCAAATACTAAATAAACTCCGTGGAGCTCTGGTGCTACTGCCTCAGATGGGCAGCAAGCCCTGACTTGCATGAGCAGTCTTGTTTGGACATCTGTACCTGTTTGCTTTCTATTGGTTCAGACTCGCCTTAAAACAGAGCTGGGTCTCTTAAGTCTGAGACCTTGCTTCTGCTGCTATCCACAACATAAGGCATTAGGAAGTGGCCCAATATTCACCTCACCCTAAAGTCATTCATTGACACCTAGCAGCCCTCTTCCATTGGTGAGAAGTTTCTTTCCAAATTCTCCCAAATCAGTTGACCAAATTCCCAGGACCTAGCTCTTCTCAGTTAGCAACTTCCTGACTCTCCCAGGCCCTACTTCCTTCTTTCATGGAGGACCTCAAGATACTACCAAGAAAATGCTGATCACCAAGCAGAGATCCATACTTATGCCCCATTCTGGATGTACATATGAAACCTAAGTTTGGATTCTATTTTTAAGATAAAGGAGAAAGTAGGGAGAAAGTTGGGCTATAACTAAAAACATTTTGCTCTGATTTTTGGCAATATCATTTTAAGTTCCTGGAATTGGAATTCTTACTGTTAATCTCCACTGCTGAGAGACATGACATTGGACATGTTCTGAAAGCTCTACGTGCTGGAGAGGTTTCCATTAACTCTTCAATGGGACAGAAATTGGTGTCTACATTTTCCCCTTTGCAATGGCCATATGATTCTAATTAAGCTAATTTTCCAAACCATCAGTCAGCTTTACGGAATGGAAAGTCCTGTACATCAGTGCATTCCTTTTGCTGTGGATATAACCAATAGGGCATGCTAAGAGCACCTTGTATCCAGCTGGGAATTCTCCCAAAGGCATAGTTTTGTCTTTAACATGCCCTCTGGTATTTTATGCAGCAAGGCAGTACCCACACATGACCTCACCATATTTCATATTTTTTATTCAAGAGCCCAAATAGTGAAATACACTTCAGGCAAAATAAAAGACAGCAGGCTTCTCTTCTTTCCTTGGTCATAGAATAGGCATTTTCTGCTTAATGGCAGAATTTAAATCAATAGGTCATTTAGAACTTGATATTACCAAAAATCAAGGGTACATTCTATAAACAAGGTGAAGACATAGTACCAGAGATCCAAAACATGAATATAAAAAGTCATATAAGTTAAACGACTGTCACTTTAGCTATACAAAGAACAGTTACTAGTCTGCCTCTAAGGAGGTCAGTTACATTTTAATATCTATATCAAACATTTCTACATTATTGTGTGGGCATTTCATTCATGCCCATTCAAGAAAGTCATTGTTGATTCCACTAAAATTTTCTCTAAGCAATAAAATAAAGTAAGTTTGAATAGTTCCAAGACATACATCTTTCAAACACTAAATGTTTGAGTAAATCCAGATGCTATGATAATATCTAAAATCTCTTGGAAACTATTTCAATAATAGACAAGCTAATTCAGTTTAAAAGGCTAAACTGATAGCTCCATGTAAACACAGCCTGTGGGGGAGGGGATGTTTAAGTCTCAATTGTTCAAAGGAACATACTTTACAAAGTATGTTTGAACAATTGTTCAAATGAACATACTTTACAAAGACAAGATAGGTGGGGTGGGTATTGACGATCTAATAATTTCTCTGAGCATACCAGCTAAGCATTGATTCTCTTCTACTTCAAATAATGAGTTCTTGTTATATTCATAAAAGATACATCATAGGAAATCATAAAAAATCATGTTGAGATAAATAGGTTACATAATTACAGGCTTATCATAACTCTGGTAACACCAAGCCATTCTACATACTGTAGGATTCCTGAGCTTTGTCAATTCACTTTCTTCATTGGCCCCTAACTGCCTTTCTTCCAGAAAGTCTTCTATGTTCTATTGAACATATCTTTTTCCCTGATATTCAGCCTATGCCTTTGTATATTTACTTCCACTGCTTCATTTTTCCATTGGAATATCCTCATGGAGAGGAATTGCACACACACGACCTTCTCTTTTCCTTAAACATATATCACGACTGGGTGCTTTTTCCATCATCCTTTTTCCCAGACAACTAGCACTGCCTTAGCCAAATCTCATCCCCCCACCAGCTTCTCTAACATCCTGTTCCATTATTGTACATGTAGAACAAAGGGGAAGTTTAAGGACAACAGGGCGAGTGTGCTGCAACCAAGTTTTCATTTTACTTTTCTAGGGTACCACATAATCTTGACACCTTTTTAAAGATAAAATTCAATGGGGCCCACTGAGTAGTCTGGAGTATAGGGTTTAATGACTGGGAACTCTGAAATAATCTGTTTTCCGTGGGAATTTCCAGAAATTTGTTAGATGATGCCACATTTTCAAAATTTGCTTTGTTTCTTTGCAGGTGTATTTTATAGAATTTAAGACACTGGAAAGCTTAAATGTTGCTGTAAAAAAAATCAGTTAAAATAGTACATTAATATCTAAACAGTAAACTAGTGATATGACTGATACATTGTTCCAGTTCTGTTTTGTTTTTTTAATATATTTTTTGTTCTTACACACTCAGTTTCCACCTTTTTCTTATTTCAGGCAACTAGTTCCAGAAGATATTTTCAACTTGAGAATTTTTTTTTCTATGACTTTTATTTTATGATTCAATCATTAATGGAATGGTCATAAGAACCTTTGATTGTACATATCAATACAACCATGTACTGTGATCTGACAGCATCCTCAAATTTACAATAAAAAATTTATAACACAAAATTAATTGGTCTATTCTTTGGGGATTATGATATTTAGATATTATATTCTAGGTAAAACTATAGTATCTTTAAAGAGAAATGTGTGTGTGTGTGTGTATGTATGTGTGTGTGTATATATATATATATATATATATATATATATATATATATAGCATTATAATGATGAAAGAGGCCTTAGATTACTAGACCTCAGCTAACTGGAACAAAGGAAGACCCAGTCCAAATTTAAATGTAAATGGGAATTCCATTTCACCAAATTCCATGCCACTGAGGGTTGCTTTATATCAAAGCCTCCAAAATTATTAATGAGAATTGTCTCAAACTAACTTTCTATTCCTCTATTTTGTAACTGAAGAAATCTTGCTTATTTGCACCTCTTATTCATTATAGTTCACCTACTTTGGGAGGAGAACAGTGCTATAGCTGAATGGCCAGGGCACCTACCTCCCACAGCAGCTGAGAATATATTTATATATATTATAAAGACTATATTATGAAGAATGTACTCTCCAGCTCAGCCACTGTTATGGAGACTAAGACCAAGAATGAGTGGGGCCACATCATAATTGTAGGAATGGAGAGGGACAGACCAGCATCACTGGACCTACTGGTTTTACATTTAATCAGTATCATGGGGTATAATTCACCCACTGAAAATATACATACCACAGACCTGTTTAAAAAAGTAATTATTTCTGCCAAAGAATCCTCATAATTACAAATAATGAAGTGTGGGGTTCTTTTTTTCCCCTTTCTATCCCCCTTTCTCCCTCAATTGAGGGGTATATGATAAATACATTGATTTCATATGTATATTCTCAATGCTAATTTCAGTTGAGCTGTTTCTTTTTCTGGCCCATATATGTTTTATGTTTCCATGTTTCTGTGACTAACAAGTTAGTCCCACTCTCTATTGCTTCAAGGGGAAACTCTGTGAAGCCTCCTCATCTTTCTGCCTCCTGTCCCTAGCTTGTCAATTTGATTTTCTTCTAGGGCTTTCCCCACTTGCCTAGAAAGGAACCCTAAGATTTCAGATAATCATCCTCATCCTCCAGGTAGGGATCATTCTTGATATCTGCAAATATACCTGTGAGTTCTGGGATGTTTAGACTGGCATAGAGCACCACAAGGCTAGAAACTAGAACAGCAGAAACTACTCGAACACTGTTAAACACAAGTCTTAACCACAAGGACTGGGCTCAAGGACTCGTTATAAGTAAATATTGGGGAACCTTCCAGATGGGCTCTATCCATCCTGAATAAAGTGTAGGCAATACCCCTTATACTAATAAGGACAATAATTCCCCAACATAGTAGTTATTCAGGTAAGTCTTTTCTTCAAGTCCCAAAGCATGCAGCAGCTGCATTACTTCTTTCCCAAGGCAGAATGAACACATGTTGAAACAGGGTTTCTTCCTCTCCATCTTGGGATCTTTTCACTCAGGGCTTTTCACTAGGAAGAGATGTGCTGGGGTACTATTTAGCCAAATGCCATTTGAGTGGTAAAAGGAATATGGAGATGTTAGAGGTTTATGTTCTTCTGACATGTAAATTCCTGTCTTTCAGCAAGACAATGGGACTCAGTTGAAATAGTGGATTCAGTTCTTAGTTTCCTTTCCTTAACATAATTTAAAAAAAAAAAAAAAACAACTCTTTTACAATCATACCTTTAACCAGCTAATCTAGATTTCATCTTTTGCTGAAATTCTTCTCCAGCCAACGCCGGACTTCTTGAAGGTTGTAGCAGAAGGGGCCCTTTCCTCCCAGATAAGCAATTTTCTGTCTCTGCACAATACACACACGTTCAAAGGCTACCCCATAAGCTACATTGGCATTATTGTCCATGCGGTCAGCCACAACTCGGCACTGGGGCGGCAAGGAGAAACGCTCCAGAAGCTGGTGGGCTGCTGCACATCGGTCTTCCTGGTTCCTGTGCTTCTTCACTTCAAAAGACAAAGAAGAATCACCAGGCACTGCCCAACCATCTGAAGGATGAGCCTCATCAATGTAGACCAACAGGAAGTCAGCCACTGATGAGAACTCTTCCACCAGTTTGCTGAAGGCTGGCAGCTGGCTAGTAAAAGGAGGTCAAGTGGCTGAGCCAAAGTTGACCACCAGTGGGCGCTCAGGGCTGGCAAAGTCAAGAAGGTGGCACTCGGCTCCATCAACCATCTTCACCTGGGCACCATTTCTACTGTTGTCACCTCCTTCAGAATTGGAGACATGTACCACACTGGAATTGGGGGCATCTTCACCCAATTTCACCTGGTGGTGAAAAAAAAAGGGGGAGAGAATACCATATGAAATGCGTTGTTACTCCATTTCACTCTATACAGAAACAACTGGCTCTAATCAAATGTGGTATTCCTTCATAGGATGTAATAAACCTATATTGATTTAAGTAAAGAGGCATCATCACAGGTAATGTAAAAAAAAGGCCCTAAAAAGAGTAGAAGTCTTTTTCATTCTGTAGAGTCACTGAGGCTAATTGTTTTCAGCATCGAAGGCATCTCAGTTAACTCTCTTCATCATTACATTGAGGCTGGTATTCTTTACTACCCTTACTTTGCTGTCAATGGTTAGCACACATTGTATAACAAATGATTAATTGGCTTCATTTTAAAAGTTAAAAGTGAATGGTCTAGTTTAAGAGAAATTATCAGAGTTGTGGGAGTTAGGTACCTCCTTCTGAATTCCCACTAATGAATTCCAAAATACTTGGGAAAGACCTTTATATTCTTCCATGATGCTAATTCATTTAATCTCAACCAATGGACAATGATCCCAATGAAGTGTATTTCTGTCCAGAACTAGAAAACCTGGGCTCTGCCATTTACTGGAAGGGCTACTTCCACTTCACCTCTTCAGTGCCTCAGGTTTTCCATCTGTAAAATGGTGATAATAGTGCCTTCCTTGGACAGTTATAGGGTGATAACCTAAGAAAACGAGCTCTTGTACACTACAAATCATTGTGTGGGTATAGGTTCCAACATTAAATGTCACCCAAACATGTGAAACAGCATATCATCTTTCTGGGAAATTCTATTTTTAAAAAAAAGATTATCCTTAGAAGTGATTTGAGCTCTTCTCTATATGATGTCCTTCCTGGAGGTTTCTCAAGCTGCTACTTACTTTCAGGTTCCTACAACTGGAACCTCACCCCATTTCCATAAAACAAATGAAATAACAAAAACATACAATTATTCCAGAATTCTTTTAATTCCTCATTTTTCATGTGTTTTTGGTTTGGTTTGTTTTCTTGTTTTTATCTAGGAAATCACAAACCATTTACTAGTCTATCATACATTCTATTAAGGAGCTCCTCTGAACTAAAAAATATTCAGGCAGGTATAGAAGAAGGTATGCAAGAAAATTGTTCCACATTCCCCTTTGCAAGTGGTTTAAATAGCTGAACACAGACTGAAGGAAAGTTTGCTGGCCTTTGGATCTGTAAATTGATAATAAAAAGCTGGCAACATAAAAGAACCAATTACCTCAGTTTGAATTAACACAATCGGATCTTCCCCTAGAATGGTTTAATCAAAGCCAATAACATTAGGGACAACTTACGACAGCCCAATTGATTTTTATACACTATACTTAATATTACAAAACACTTCCAACTGGATCGACTTATTCCCTTCATATAAATACAGCCACACATAACACTGCTAGTAATTGAAGTCACTTAGAAGTAAATTGTTAAAAACTCAACAATCCAAACTGATGTAAAATACTCAAGGGCTTTTATTCAGAAGCTTCTATCTAATGTGAATACATAACTCATTTTAACTGTAGAGAAAGAAGTAAAGAAGTTCTTTCTCCCTTCTGAAAAATCCTAGCAATGCAGATTTGAAATGATACAATTAGTTTTCCTAAAAAATCTTAGAATAACAACCTTGTTTCTTAGAAAAGGAAGCTGTTGGTATGATTTAAATAAGTACATTTGTTTTCAGTTACTATCAGGGAGAAAGTTACTTTATTTATGTTAATTTTCTTAGTTAATTTGCAAGTTACACTAGATGGAGAAATCTAATAAGCCACTTTCAGTTGGGTTATTTTATATGAGGTAAAATAATACCTCATTCATCTCTGAGGTATTAAAATATACTTACAATTTAAAGATACACATTTTAAAGGTATTATAAACTTTTTAATCTATGGGTACTTCTTGTACTTCTTTGTAGATCTAGGTGGTGGGTAGCATTACCATTACCTTCTTGTTAGATTTTTCCCACTTAAAATACAGGTAATAATTATAGAAGGGCTGCTTTCAATGATATTATGTTGTGTTCCTCAATACACTGTGATATAAAGATCTGAATGCATTCAGACCAGTCTAAATCCATGAACTGTCATAGTGACTTCTTGTTAAGTGAGCAACCCATACACAGGAGAAAAATCATCTCTGGACTGTAGACTTATAGGTTCTTGGTAGGTGAAAACAACCATCTGCTTGTTGGAGTCATTTTAAAGACCTCTGATGCCCCTGACTCTCACCCAGGCAGAGCTGCTGATCCTTGCATTATTCTTGATTATTCAACTGAACAATCTAATCTGATGCTTCAGTCACAGGTGACTCTCTTATTACCTGTAGTTAATTTTCTTGGAAAGTTAAAGCACCTCCTCCTTCTTCTTAGTGACACATAGCTCAGCCACATAATTCTTTTCAAAATACAGACTAGTCCACGTCAGAAAATTTCAAACAAGTATAATACATTTACTCTAAAATTAAAAATTAGAAAAGTTACCAAACACATGCTTGTGTGTGTGTGTGTGTGTGTGTGTGTGTGTGTGTGTGTGTGTGTGTAGTGCCAGCAGCAGGGTTGGCATTTTGTTAAGCTGGGAATTTTGTTGAATGAATTACTGAGTGAATAATAGCGGTTATAATCCTAGGAGTAGGGGCCAATGAAGAATTTTACACTTAATAATAATCTTGACCTGCAAAGAACATAACTGTGTTTGGGTGATGGATATGCTACTGAGTCAGATAATTTGGAAATGTGAATCCTGGAGCCCTATTGTAGAGTTCTGTCATAATCAACACCAAATATGTTCTTGATTATCTCGGCTGGTCTGTGTATGAAATGATAGTAGCCAATCCTCTTTATTTTGCTGAGCAGCCATGGGACCCTACTGCAGATTGGAAGGTCATAAGGGGACATCCTGTTCATGAGGGTGACTAGGTTAGAGAAAACGTGTAGGTAAGACCAATGATAATAATAAACCTATGAGAAGAAAAAAAAACACCCATTATCTGTGAGTCCCAACGTGAGTAGACCAGTAGTCTGCTTTTGTAAACCTCATCAACTAATTGTAAAAGTTTGTCCATTTTGCTAAAACCTGCTGATGACAATTTAGCAATGATAAAGAAAAAATAAACTTCAGAAATTTAAAAAATGAAAGTTCCCTTTAACCTAAAAAATAAATCTTTTAAAAGGACATTATTGTCTTTTCTCAATTGCCATTTGAGAACAATGTCATTTCTCATTTGATCTCTGTGACAATTAAATTCCTATTATGACCAGAATTTCAAATGAAGAGTTTCTTGGTTTGCTCAGTTATACTCCCTGCTGAGACAGAATGGGAGAATCACCATTGTCTTCAATGATGGAAGATTCTTTGCTTTCCCCAGGAGCAAAGCATTCCTTGACAAAGAGCCAGGATGATGAAGAAAATAAAGTTCATCCCATAATAACATTTAGGCTGCAGGAAAGAAGCTCAACAAAAACAAGTTATCCCCTGGTACTCCCAAACTTTGTTTAATTTCCCACAGTGGCACAGAAAGTCTCCTGGCCACAAGTTACCTATCATCTTAATTTCTCCTTCTTAGAGGGTTTGTGTTTGGTTTTTGTCCTTAATGAGACATATTTGCCAAAGAGGCATTCAAAAGGCATTTTTTACTCTTGCGGAAGAGTAATTAGGTCGGTACCTCTTTCCCTGCCAGCATTAGCTGCTCTAAAGAGAACCCTGCCCAGTATTTAATGCCCAAACACAAGAAGCATCATTTCCACTAATTGGTCTTGAAGTTCCGATGTTCCCAAAGGGTCCCTTTATTTTGCAAGGATCAGAAAGGACATACGTAAAATGTAATATCGTCATCACTGACTTTATCGCTCTCATCTGCGCTCTTACAGTTGTCCTTTCTTATGTTTGTGTAATCAACATCAACACAACACCAACAAGGGAGGTGAATAAAGGGCTGCATTTTTACAATACAGGGCATCTCTGGGCAGAGCACAAATGTTGTGATAGCCATATTTATAAATATGAACAAGAGTGTAAATATACGGCATATAAATTGACTCCCTTGATGATGGTATTCCTTTTACTGACAGTGTTCAGTGCATGGGGAAAAGGATAATACTTCTTTAGCATGTGGACTGTGAAATGCAGGGCAAGGGAAAAAAAGAACCATTCATCAGGCAGAAGCTGGAAATAGAGCATATACTACTAACCTTGTTTTTTTTTCCCCCCTTTTCCACAGCCCAAGAAAGGCTTCTGGACAAAATATCACCTCATCTTATGGTAGGAAGTAAAGCAAATGATAAAAATGGTGGTGGGTATGTGGTAGAACAATATTTACACATCCTTCTTGCTACCCAAAGCCCTGGAATGGCTTTATTAACCATCAAGAATTTTCAAATTCTTTGACATAATGACCAGACTACATCAGCGGGCCTTACAAACATGGCCAAACAATTATTAAGCAGCAATTTACCCATTTACATTCAAATTGGCCAAATAAACCAGAGTTGAAGAATGAGCTACCTACTCTTTCCTTTTGGTCATTCTCTTTTTGATTTGTACCTTGAAAACCTTGATTTGTACCTGCGCTCTAGCACTTCCTAGTGGTTTATCCAAGTGATGGACAAGCTCTGGCTGTGGCCTCCTTTGTGTTCTTTTGGGACAATTTCTCTCTTAAAAGGGCTATTTTCCATTGTAGAAACTAGTGTCAAAAGGTTTGAGGTGAATGAAGAGGAGAAGGATGCTAGAAACCCTTTCAAAACCAAAATTATATGTTCAAATGAATATGTTTTCTGTGCTACTGCAGTATTTACCATGCAGAGGCTAAACTGCTTGTCAGCATCTATACTGTGTGTTTACTTTTACACTTCATTTAGGTAGGAGCCAGGCTCCCAGACAGGGTAGTTTGCTTATTGGTTGCATTTTTGAGTCTTGGAACACCAGCACAAGGATGCAGTGTTAGACGCAATGACACAGATTAGGAAAACTTAAAGAACACACATCTGGTGTTCACCTCTGTCACAAGTTTCCGTAGACATTCTTTTTCATCAATACCTTGCACGGAACTCCCTCTAACCAAGCGCAAGTTATCTTTAAAGGTTTCCCTCTGAAGTTAATTTTAACTCCCAGTCAATATTTTAACGAAGAAGGGTTGTTTTATTTTGTTCTGTTGATTTCCTTGTGGCCTCCTGTTGGAGCCAAATACAGGGATAGCACTTTGCCAGCAATATCTTCCCAAATATCTGACCTTCAACAAAGGGAATTATAAAGGACGTGCCTAATGTATTACAGGTGCGCAAACCCCTTAGCCGGGAAAACCCTGCTTCTGCAGGTGGCAGCCTCAAAGTAACACAAGTCAGGATTGTGAAATACAGTGGTGCTGTCTCACACAGAACCTCATCCGGTGTGGCCCCAGATTGGCTACACCCAAAGACAGTGTCGCAGATGACAACAGCAGTCAGGGAAGTGATTCAACCTGTTTCAGAGATTCACCGTGACCCTTAAATGCCACCACAGCCACCACCACCTTGTCATACTTGGGAGACAGAAGGAGACCTAAAATCAAGGCAAGCTGTGTTCACAACGTTTCTATTCATTAGACACCCAGTCCAGTCTTGTCTCTGGATATATGGGTCCTTGAGTTGCTTCTTCTCATGGTATCTATTATATAAATCATAAAAAGCAAACATAATAACATCAGTTGTGAACTTGGTCACTAATCAAATCAACAGAAACAATATAGGAGAAGAATCATAAACCATATGCAAAAAAAGAAAAAAGAAAAAAAAATCACTTGTCCTTGTCAATTTCTTGGACTACAAAACATAAAATATTGCAACACACTATATATTAGTGAAAAAAATAAATAATAAAGTTTATTGAAGAGGCATTTGTGGGGTTTTTTGCCTTTTTATTCCAATAAGCTGCTTAAGAGGAGAAACACTCCTTTTGTGGGTAACAGCAGAGCCCCCATATTTTATGTGAGATATTTATACAAGGATATATGCATATAAATAAAATTCTCCCAACTGGTGACTTTCCTTTTATAGGCAAAAAGTCAATTATCTTTCAAAGAAGTAAGAGTTTAATATGCTGAGTTCAAGCCACTGGCATTGGCATGTTATCTTCCTAATACCTACAAAATCCAGATGTGGATGAGGGAACTTGCTAATAATGTGCCTGACATACATGAGTGTGCATTCTCCACCCTCTTCCGAAGTCTTTACTCCCAAATCAAAACATAAAATTTTCACACTCAATGATACATTTGTGGGAATGAAATGGTCATCTCGATATCTCTCTCCCTCAACTCCCCTTTGCCCAACATACATAACACAAAGGAAATTATATGGTTAGAACCTTAAGCATTGTTTCCTATTATTATAAAGGAACTTTTACTAACAAGAGCTCTTACTATTCTCTGGCCTTAAGGACAACATATGCAGATGTTCTGCAGGTAACTTTTGATAACAAAGACATGCAATATAGTAAAATGCCCCTAATTCATGATGAATATTTCCTTCTTGAACACTTGTTTAATTTTCAGTGGAACAAGCTTACTCTGGATTCTTTGTGACTAGAAGTTACTTCTGTTCCTCTCCTGGTGCACAGATTTATTTTTCTAGAATTTATTGATGGGGGATTCATTCCTTCCCCCTTCTCTGATTCTGAGTTTTAATCCTGTTTCTGAGGTGCCACTTGTCTATAATGTACCACTTCTCTGGCTTCCATATGTCTCTCAAACTCCCTTCCCTGGCATCTCAGACAAGGTCCCCCAATACAGTTAGGGAAAACCAAGATTGTCTACTTGGACCACAACTTTTGCCAAATGAGTCCATTCTTCTTAATTAAGCCCAGAGATCTTTAGGACTCATGTGGGCATGGGCAGAGAGGACAACGGACAAAGGACCAGTTCCCCTTTGCCCCTTGAGATTTGAGTTGGGGGTGTCCTACCAAAAGGCTGGGATGACAGTAAGTCTTAGAAACAAAGATCATCAAGTCTGGTCTTGAGAAGCAGCCCTGGGACATGAGTTCTGCAGCTAAGTAAGGTCACTGCTCCAGTGCTCAAGACACGTGTTATAACAGGTTTGAGACTATAACGAACCATAATGGACTTATCTGCTCTTTCTAGGACAACTTGTTTCACTTTTGAGAAAGCAAATGTGATTTCCCCTACAAAGTCTGATTTCTGACAGCTAGTTCTCAGCTCCTTCTTTTTTGTAAATTGGTATCCAGTAACCCAGGACTCGGTGCCTGATAACCACTTCAAAAGGGTTCAAATCAAAGAAGTCATGGGGATGAAAAGTGTAGCATAGGGAATATAGTCAATAATTTTGTAATAACTTTGTATGGTGACAGATGATAACCACACATATCATGGTGAACATTTCTTAATGTATATAATTGTATATAATTGTCGAAACCCCATGTCGTACACCTGTTCATTGTATGTCAACTATCCTTCAATTACAAAAATGTCCATGTAGAGGAGGATGCTGCACACAGGGCTGCCTTCATTAACTCTTACCTCTACCAGAAACGAGGGGGGCTATTATGCCAAATCACACTGGCTGTGACCATCTTGTTACATCTTGCCAACTCTGAGGGTTCTGAGTAGCATTTTCTTTTTTTCCCCTTGCTTTTCAGTACCCACCATTGAACTGTCTTTCCTAATGCACCTCCACCTCTCATCAAGCAAACCCTCAAAATCCCAGTTTGTGACAAGAGCAGGTTAAACGCAGCAGTCTCCCCTCCCCCGACATTTTCTGACTTTTCCCTAAGTTATTTAACCGGCACAAACACCCTCTACTCCAAAATTGCAGCAAGACACGAATGACCCTTATTAGAAAGCCTCCTTACTAAGTCACGCCGAGTCATTATGGCTTAATACCTGTCAGCCCCAAATCTAACCTGTGTGACAGGTGTGGAAGGTGCAGGAAGGAGCTCCCTTGAGCATAACCACCAGGCCCCCAAAGAGAGCTCCATGACCCCAGCCCAGTGCTCCCCACGGCCTGCTGTCCCTAACTTGCCAACCCCTACCCCTGCTGACCACGGGAGAAGCCCCTGTCCGGAGCAGCTCACCTGCTTGTAGGCATCGAGGAGGAAGCTTTTCCAGATGCAGCGCATTCCCTCTGAGGTCAGCATGCGCCTCCACTCCCCGCGAGTGGACTTGGAGCGGCTCAGCAGCAGCACCACGTGCTTGAGGAGAATGACCGAGTCATAGAGTGCCAGGAAGAGGCAGTTGGAGAAAAAAACTGGCAGAATTTGCAGTGTGATCAGCAAGTCTACGCTGAGGATGCCCATCTTCTCTGCCTCCCAGTCAGTTCCCTTGTGCGCTCTGGTTCCCTTTCACCCTCTTATTTAAAAGGGGGGTGGTGATAGAGGGGGTGGGGGAGATAAAGGGGAAGGCCGGGGGTGGGGGGAGAAGGAGAAAAACTAAATTAAAAGGAAGCCCAAGTTGTCTCCTCTTTCAAAGAAGCAGAAATGGTAAGACCAAGTCCAGTCTCTCCAGCCCAGCAGTTGGAGTGTGCCCATCAATTCATTCAATTCGGAGCTGCTGCTTTTTTTTTTTTTTTTTTTCAGGATTTAAGATGTTAAAAAAAAAAAAAAAAAAAACCACACACACAAACTGGCGTACCCGTTCCTAATCCAGTTACCCCTCTCAGAGTCGGTTAAAGACAGGCAGTTCTACTTTCATTTCCAAGCACCTATGAGACTGTGGCAGAGATTGCAAAATTTTCTTTAGCTTTTCATTGTCTCTATGTTCAGAAACGTAGCCTGTTTCTTTCTTGAATTGCCAGAGTTTTAAAAAATGTGCTTTAAGGGTAGTTTTTCCCCTTCTTTACTCCGTTTTACACACACTTTCTGTTCTCCTTCTCCCAAGCTGTCTCCCTCTCTCCCTTCCCCAGGAGCGACTGACTCCTCTTTTCCTCACTCCCTCTGGCTTTTCCTTCGTGCTATCTGTCTGTGGTGCAAAGTGCCTCTCTCTCTGCAGCCCAGTGAGTCTCCCTGAAGCCTTTTATACATTCCCTGGCTAATTGCTGCAATAGAGAAATGAAAGCCTAATCTTGGTAAAGATCTTGACGTCACTGAGAAAGAGGGCTTTACTTTGGCCAGAACTGCAGTGAATAGAAAAGCAAAACTCTCGACAACTTTTTTTTTTTTTTTTTAGAAGGAGGGGGGGTAGAGGGACAGTGGAATTTTGCTTTGTGATTTAAAGAGAGGGAGAGAGAAAAAAAATTAATACTTTTGACGGTTTTCAGGAAATGCTTCTAGACTTTGGGAAAAGTAATTTAATTTAACGTGTAAATTGATAGGAAACTCTCTCTCCTCTGATGATGATTATTGTTATTGTTCATTTATGAGGGGTTTTTGGAAAGAAAGCATTCTGGAAGGCAGGTAGAAAAGAGAAAGAGTACTCAGGGATGGTCTCTGTTCTATTTTTTAGAAGATGTGGATGCTTACATCTGGTCTTTATACCTTTATACTGTGACAGTTTCTCGTCAGATTTGTGACCTAGGTTCTTTAAATATTTTTGAGTCATGATCTTATTTAAGAAAATGCAAAGTGAGTTGTGAGGTGGAAAACTTTTAAACTCTTTGAGTACCATCAGAGCATTTCTCTAAAGCTTTTTGCAGAAAATTAATACAAGTTTTCTTTTCAGTGTTACTGAAATTTCCAATGCAAAAAAGAAAAGAAAAAGAAAAAGAAAATCTTCCAGACAACCATGAAAGCAGCTAGGTGACCAGACCTTCTTTTAGTTCCATTTTGCCTACATGCAGATTAAATTAAAACTTTCTATCAAGTGGCATTAAGATGCCATAATACTGAGAAATAAATTTCTTTATAAGTGAGCTCTTTAAATTCTGTACTTCCCGTGCTTCTGTTAACATAACCCTTAAGAGACCTGAAGCTTTAGGGAATCTTCCTTTTGCCTTGAAAAAAAAATTTAATTAAATTTGTAGGTGTTTAGGAGCAGACTTTGAATTGGTTCAAGAGCCACACTGAACATTGCTCAATGGCTCGCCTCTGCCATTAGTTTCCAGGACCGATGTCTAGGCAGACAATGCTTTGGCAGAATGCCATGACCCCCACCTCATTCTAGTTTTCCTTCCTCACTTACCTAACCGATCACCTCTAGGAATTATGTTTTCTTGGAAGAAAGAGTAGTAAGTACAGACACTGGGGTGGGGTTACAGAATTTAAATTGAAAATTAATTAGCCAACTTTTCTATGTACACAGTGCTCTCATTAAGCATGAGCTAAGCAGGAGATGCAAACCTGTGGTCAGTACATTTCTGTGTTTTGTCCCTGTGGCTAAACCTGCAAGATTACAGAAATAATTTAAAAGCCTAGAGCAGGGGTCATTAATTGGTAGGCCAATGGGCCAAATTCTGCATATATATATATATGCATTTTATTTGGTTGGCCCATTGCTTTTTGCCTTTAAAAAAATAATAATACAGTCAGAATGCTTTTAGTTTTCATGAGACCGGGGATTCCTATCTGCTTTCTCTATTGCTGTCTTCCACCAGTTAGAACCATGCCTGGCACGGAGTAAATTCAAGGAGGATGTACTGAATGGACCAATGGGCAGGGCATGCATTGCTCCACACTAGGGGGCACCATTCACATACAATATGATATGACTACGGTGCCCCAGAGTTGTACACCTGGCTGGTCTTGGATGTGGCCCTTCCCATTGACACAACCCTGGCCATTCCCTATTATCTTAAAAACCTGATTCTTTCGTCTTTCTCATCAGTTTAGCCCATTATGAACCTTGGATTTATATTCCATGGACTAAATTTTGAGAGATTTCAGAGCTTAGAGAAATGAATATAAACCATAAAGAAAAATATTTTTCCTGTGACTAGTATACATTGTTGGCTAAAGAATTTTATTCATATACATGATCTCCATTTACTCTATTCATTCTCTCAATCTTCTCAATGTCCCTATTGAAGAAAAAAAGACAAAAAGAGAGGGAAGTGACAACATGGCATTTTAACTAGTGTAGAAGGGAAAGCTAAAGTGCCAGATGAAGTCCCGCTCCACAATGACAGAAGGCCTGGAGTCAGGAAATGATGTTTCCACTCATTGTTCAAGCCTTAAAATCTCGCCCCTTCTCAGACATTCATTTTGACCTGTTTGAATGAAAGCAGTGCTCATTTAAGGCAGAGACTTTAGCAGCTATAAACCAATTCTTCCTCACTTGTCTTTTGCTTTCAAGGAGAAAGATATGGTTAGAAATGGCAAGCTAAGGAGAGGGATTGGTAGAAAATCAGAAAAATGTTTTCTTTTTAAGTGCAAAGTTCAAGGCACATCCAAACTACAAATGGTTATAAATCAGAATGGCTTTTTTTTTTTTGGTCTTTTTATTTTCCTTTCTCTTTCTTTCTTTCCTTCTTTCTTTCTTTCTCTTCTTTCTTTGGAAGTCAGATGTGTTTGAGGTTTTTTTTTTTTAAAATAGAAGAACAAATAGACACATAGCCAACCTCTTCATAACATTTCTCAGATTTCTTCCATCACTTTTTTAAATGAATAAATGAATCACAAAACTGAGAGCCATTCTTTTACCTGTTAGACAATCTTTCCATTCTAGAAATTACATTTCTCCAAAGCTATTTTTTTACACACAGTTTGCTTGCTATAATTATTAACAGTATTCAGCATTTTGGTTTTCAAGTAATTTTATACCCATGAAGTAAAAAAAAATAACACATACGGTGACAGAGAATGATTTGTCCATCATATAGATGAGACAAAGTGGATCACAAAGTCTATAGAGTCAGAGCTCATGCTAGGATATTTTCCCTAAAGCTGAATCTCACTTTTTTTCTTATGTAACTATTTTGTGGGTCCTGGTCATACTCTGAAAATCAAAACCCTTGCCAAAAGCAGTTGTGCTAAATTATTTTACCTTCTAATTTGCAAAGGATATCTGGGATTTTACATCTGTTTAATATTGCCCCAATTCAAGCTCCTGGTTTAGATTTCATATGGTCATTTCAAAGGTTTGGATATCTTCATGGCCGTATAAGCGTTCTTAGCAATCAACATTGTAATCAGCTAATTGCAAACCAATGTGTGGCATGTTGGTTGAATTTCCCCATACAATGTTATACACAGGTTTCAAATTCTAAACAAAGGCATCTTGGGGCAAAATGCTTTGCGTTTTTTAGGAAGTTCAGAAATGCTGTAAAATTGTTTAATTGTGTTCTCTTTCTATAGTAAGAGAGCATCATGTCCATCGTTGCTTCCTTCTGGTTGGAGAAATAGTATGAGAGGTAAGTCTTCCTTTGGTCTACTTTTTGACTCAAATTGAGACTGAGAACATGAAGGTGGATAACTTGAGAGCAGACGTGGACATTTCAGGGGTGGAAGCTATCACTGATATCTCGTTATTGTTTTATGAAGGAGCCAAAGTGCATCCAAAGAATGCTGTGGAGTTAATAATTCATGCTGTGGATTTTTAAGAAGTCTTGTTTCACAGAATTTTATTCCTTGTAATTCAAACAATTTGTTAAATATAGTTTAAAAATGGAGTTTAATTCTTCTTTTATTAAAAATTTGTCAAATAAATAGATTATAAATCAAAAAATGTCTGGTCAGGACAGGTGTGTTGGCTTGGGGTTTGGGAATATGACTGCCATATACATCACTCCCCAAATAGTGCAGTCCTTATCAGAGAAGGGAATCAAAAACTGCATGACCTTCCATCTCTACTAACTCCTGGTTGTGCCCAAGAGGGAGTTATAATGAAGGGTTTGTACTACCACTACTGAATCATTCAGAATTCCCTGTTGGCCCATCCATTTTACAAACGCAGCCGTGTTCCCTGCCTTGGGATGAAAGAAACTCAGTGGATAAAATAGACAACCCCAGAATAAACTCTGACACACCTTGAGCAAGGCAGCTTAGGGCTGGGGCAGAGAAGGCAGACACTGTGGGAGGTATGAGCATTCTACCCCAACAGCTGGTCTTAGGTCCCTTTGCAAGCCCTGGCAGAAAACATAGGCTGAGGTGTTAATGCATTTTTCCCTCAGGAACTGCTGCTACTCTTTTGTTTCCAGGCTACCTACTGGTAAGACAGAGAAGGAAAGGAAAAGGGAAAAGACAACAGGAAGGGGAAAGCAGAAATGAAGAGAAGAAAGATGAGGGTGGAGAGGAGAAAGGAAGGGAGAAAAGAGAAGTTTCAATGAACTGTCTGCAGGAGGCTGTGAGCAAGAGAGCCAATTAATGCCAATTGTGGCAATGCTTTCTGTGAGGAAGACAGCTGTCCAAAAACTGGATGGAAGCCACCACCT